CACGTTTTATTAAAGTAACCAAGAACTACGTAACAACGTTTCAGCAATGTTACGTAGTTTTAACTTTTGTGGTTTACTGAGTATCGTTATAACTTATGAAGATCTTGTGATAAGTTGAATAGTAACTACGGATAAACAAGTATAAATGATAGTAACTATGTGGTATGCCTAAAATAATATTTTAATTTTAATAAATAAATTTCAAGAATATTTATCATGTGATTAAATTCCATAAATTAAATTAAATACCTAAAATACAAATCTTCTCAATTTTATTTTATTATGTAGAGCAGTTGTCGTTCCAATAAGCGAGTAGCATAACCTATATAGTTTATTATAATATGTTCTTACATACTTACAGTTACGAATTTAAAATTTCTTTTATACATTAGCGATTGTTTGTTTTAATTAAATCTATTTGTAAGTAGATTGAACTCCAAAGTCATTATTTTAAGAAAATATCTATTTCAGATATGCCTTGTACCCTATTTGATTTCGAATATTCAGTTAGGCTTGATGGTTTCATAAATAAACATAAAATCTAGATTTTTTCTAGAAATTTTATTATTAGCTAATAATAAAATTTCTCATTTTTATGGGAAACTATATATTGACGATAATATGCATTATGTTTCTAATTATAAAACAATACGCTGTTTTACGCTTGAAGAGCAACAATATCTAAGAAAGAGATCCATGAATTTTTTTTATTAATCTTTGAAATCAACGAAATCGGTCAACAACGCATTCATTAGAGCTTAATAACAAAAATATTATTATCAGTGTATAATTATCCAAATTATCAATTTGTATCATATTGTGTAGAGTATTCATTTGACTTCATTATAAATTAGAAACATTGTAAAAAATTGTAAAAAAATTGTAAAACGTGCAATGGTTTTCTGTTTCATAATCCAACACAAATATCTGCTTTCGCAATGAAAATAATCATAATGATGAACAAATTGTTAAAAGATCAATGTACGAGGGGATATTGAATTTTTTATGCTTTAAATATAATAATATGAAAATGAAATTCATAAAAATGAAAAATTTTCAAATTCTCAGTCTATTTAAAATAAATAGAAACAATATCTGATCACTTGAATGCTCTGTTGTGCAAAGATTTCAATATATGTGTTATATATCTTCTTAGTTTTCTCAATTATTAATTTGAAGTAGGGTTAAAATAAAAATAAATTTGAAAGTAGGGTTTATACAAAAACCGACATGTTAGAAAACCGGTTTTCGATACTATTTTTCCAAAAAAAACGGTTATGACCAGTTTCGAGTTTTTAATAAAAACACTATTTGCTCGAACAATTCGAACAAAAAAATGCAACAAAAAATTTATGGTGATTAAAAGCAGTTTTAACTAAAATTGTTTACTGTTCAATTTCATTAGTAAGAAATTTTTACGCAATATAATAGAACAAAAAAAAAGATCAGGAAAATCAGTTACCCTTTAAAAACAATTATTTGTTGTTTATGTACAATTTTTATATATAAGGGTTATCGACCGGCAACAGTGTTTTTATCAATCTCATTTTTTAAGTGCAATTGATACATTGACAACTGGTATTTTCTACACCAAAAAAACGGTTTTCGAATTCCATTCCAATTTTCTTAAAGCCCGGTTTTCGAAACCGGTTTAAAAAACCGAGGAACCCAAATAGGAAGATAGGTAATTAATGCGTTGTTTACAGATTTCGTTGTTAAACCTTAAGACATTTTATTCAAACGCGAAATTTTTTTATAAATCAAAATACAATATAAATTATAACTTTTAATATTATAAAGTAATAATATTTGCTAACATTTATTATAGCCTAGGCCTTATTGTTAGTAAGAACCGACAGGCCACTGGTTAGGAACCCCAAACTTACATTATTCTGATAGTTTGATGTAAATTAATAGAATAATAAATAATTCCTTCATTCAGAACTATTTTTTATAGCATGTAAAATTTGACTTGCCTCATATATTAATGATGTGTTGGAAAGTGGAAAGTGGTAGTAAAACATATGAAATTGGCCCTTATATTACCTTTTTACAAGTTAAAAATTAAAGATCTATTTTTTTGAGTGCTTAGTCCTTTTAAATTGAGCCAATTTATATAGTTGTCTTGGATCGAATCTTATTTATTTGAAATTATTAATTTAAAATGTTTAAATTGTAACTTGTACAATTTTATTGTTCATAAGGAATGAATTTTTATGAATATGCTCGCCTTATCAAAATGACATAAGTTTAGAGACTAACAGCTCTTATTTTATAAAATGAAATATATATTTAGTTTTTAGTTTCATAATTCAGAGATAAATAGAAACAAGGCTATTGAAAAGCCACATTTACAATTTGGGAGGAGGGATATTTGATACAATTTACAAAATTAATTTACCGCTTTCAAATCTTCATAATCTAATAATATGCTTGATGATAACATAATTCAAAATTTATAATTTATTAATCTGGCACAAATTTTGATATGGGCGTCTTATGTTCCTATGGCCTCCCTTTGATGATGGTTGTCATTGTTGTGCTCAAAGTTTCATTGTGCAGGCAGTATTTCATAACTTTACCGTGCGTGCAAGTATCAACAGTGTCAAAGTTAACAAATAAAAAGGCTAGACCAAGTAGGGCCACAAATAGGCCGAACAAGGCGAGCCCTAGGGCCGGCAATTTGTGCCTGGCGAATATTCCGCCTTGCTCCAGGCGAAGATACGCTAAACCAGAAGAATGTAGGCCAATGGTACGGCAGCCAGTACTCCCTGAAATGAAAAATCAATAGGTCTGCCTTATTTTATAGATTTTTTAACTATTTATTTTTGTTTAAATATTGGGTTTTACTGGGACACCATTATTTTAATATTAATGTATATATGTCATCACATGTATGTTTTCTATGGTAATCGTTAAGTAGAAACTTATTTCGCATTTTCGACTAAAATTATTATTATATTAAATATATTAAATTAAACTTCAATGAAAATTTATAATCGAAAATTTTCTTGTAGGCTTATTGTACCCGTATTTTTACCATTAGCTCTATTACCATAAAAAGTTTCATCAAGGTCGTAAAAATTCAACAATTAATTACAAAAAAAACGATTTTTTCCAAAAACTAGTAAGCATGATCCCTTCTAATGCTATTTGAATGGTTTTGATATTTTCAAATTCGGTTCAGGATTTTTTGCTTGGTTCTTTCGAGAAGAACGCTAATTATATACCATATGTCCGGGTGAAATGACCCGTTTTGATCTTTAAATTGAAAATGCATGTTTTATACTTTTTGCTGTATTTTACTCCATGACTTTTTTAACCTAATTAATTTTAATCAATATAGTATTTATAATTTTTTTGCTATTATTAACTATTTCCACTCGTATGACGCCGAGACCCATTTGACCCAGGGAGCATTCTTTATTTCTTTTATTGTTATAAAGCATTTTAAAGATTTTACTTCGCTTTTTCCGTCATTATTTTAACAATTCAGAATCAATTACCTCTTCTAATCTTCTTATTTTTAATTTAGCATTTTGATGAGAAAATATAAGTTATTTTTACACTTGGTGCATATCATACGAGATTGTTGCAAATAATTTTTTTATGCATAATCACTTATCTTACATTTAACTCAAGGACGGGTCCCAAACAATCTGTTGCAGTCGATATCAAACAAGCAGCTGCAATAATTCCTAATGTTAGTCCTTTGTGGCCCCAATTGTCTGAATCGTTGTCTTCCGATGAGTTTTGGCCCCCGATTGCTGGCAACGGTGTCGATCCAGCAATTACGTTTCCACCAATTACACTATGCAACACCTGGCGCATTAGAGATTACATATTTTTAGATATTGAACACATTAAAGATTAGATTAATTATTTGAATCAATAGTATATTAGAATGACTGTTAATTGACATTATTTATTATGGAGACTTTTTTCTAAACTATCATATTTATATAGTATTACCTATCAATTGTATAGGGTAAACCATTTTAGGTGGAAGCATTTGTTTCTGAAAATATATATGAAAAAAACATTATTTTATAATGATTTCAATTTATTTTTATTTAAGAAGACATGTTTCAACTATTTTAAATAAATAAAAAATAACCATATTTTTTCATATATATTTTTTATCAGAGACAAATGCTTTCACTTAAAATGACCTGTCCTATGTTATACATTAAAGTTAAGATTCCTATTGGCAGGGAATTATTTAATTAGAATAGAAAGATTACTTAAATACAAATATTTTATGTTTTTATGTGACTAAGTTACTGACCAATATTTTAATTTTAATTATAGTCATACATTTTTTTTATTAAAATTATCTGTTATACATTGGATATATACGAAACATAATTTAAAAAAAAAAAAACGTATTTTTTATTGATGGCGAAAGAAGCATAATCAACGGTTTAATCTTCAGCCCTTCGTGGTGTAATGGTTAAAAACGTATACTAGCACAGAGTAGTCAATTCGATCCCAACCTCGTCCAGCTTGATGTCAAGCAGTATGATATAAAATTTATACTAGAGGTTATAGATCTCAAATATAATCTCTAGTGATTTTAGACTTTTGTGGGCATTGCTGCAATACATTTATGCCAACATTATTAGATATATATATATATATATATCTATAATGTTTATAGTCTACACATAAAGATAAAGAGTGGTTCACCGCTGGTTATCCAAAGAAAAGTTCTAGGATAGAACGGATAGCAAACATAGCTCGCAGAATAGTAGAATATGTAGTTTTAATCGCTGCTAAAAAATAAAAATCGTATTCGATCATGTATTCGATACATCTTTGAATAGTAATTCTACTTCTTGTGTAGTACAAAAAAAATATGATGAAAATGCTGCTATATATACACACTCATACACATATATACGGCAAAGATTTTGGAGGAATCAATTGGAGGGAGAAGAATCACCACAATGATGTACGTAGATGACCTCGTGGTGATATCAAAGACCAAAACTATAAAACATGATAACTACAAATTCTCGAGAATCTTCCTAAACAGAGATGGATACTGTACGAGAGAGATCAGAGCAAGGATCACAAGCGCAAAAATAGAACGCCACTGATGAGCCATCTGAGTCTTAATTTTTTTTGAAAAGGCTAATGAAGTTTTATGTCTGAAGCTTAGCTCTTTACGGGTCAGAGACGTGAACTCTAAGAAAGACCGATAAAAATTAGCGGAGAGTTGCTGAGGATTTTAAAATAACAGTTAAAGAGTGCTGAGGATGTTGGCACAATCTTGAAAAAGATAGGAAACTGGATCGGACCAATTCTGCAAAAAAAGAGGCTCCTGCACCACGTAGTCGAATGTAAAATAGGAGCGAAAGAACTGGGATAAAGAAGAATGTAGATTATTGACGACTTACGCGAGAAGAGAAAAAACAGGGAATTGAAAGCCGAAGCACAGTACCAGGAAGCATGAAAGCAAAAGTTTGGAAAGGAAAATGCATAAAAGTGTATTAAAAGTGAAAAGTGGTAATTTGAATAAACAATAGAGGGAAAGGAAATCATCAATTTGTGTTGCTCTCATACCATGAACCTGTCTTCGGGCAGACAACCATTTATTTATTAATATAATATTATTTGTCTTTTACTTTACCTCTCTTGTGACGAAGCATTCAATCGGAAAAGTTAGAAGGATTGATATCGAGAATAAAATTCTGGAAAAGTTTATCAAATCGTCATCCCAACAATAGTTCTCCAGAAGATCACCTGTAAAAACAAATATTGATTTTAACTTTTGGAATATTAATGAGTCTATATGAAACTTTAAGAAGCGGTAATTAATGATCGAGACCTAAAATAATTTTAAGGATATTTACATATTAAAATTTCATAAAATACTTTATACTTGTTTGGGTATGAAGTTTGTTAACATCTCGGCGTCGTAATTGAAATGATGATTGATATAGCAAATTAAAAACAAAGTTTTGCTCTCATATGAAAAACAAGCAAGTCCGTAATATTAAATAAAAAATGTTGTCTATAATGTATAATTTTGTCTTATTATCGTTGATATGTTATCGTTGATTTTTAAAATTTTAATAGAAAAATTGATATGCTTATAAATATGTATTATGTAGTATTCATTCATGTATCAATAAATCTGTCAGGTTTTGGCAAGAATGGCAAGAAAGGCAAGAAATTCGTTTTCCTTTTTTGAATGCACAGAATCAACTGGCCTTTGGCAAAAGCACGCAAGCCATACCAAAAACATTTTAATTTATAGAATCATTTGGATTTTTGAAGCATTTGAAACATTATGCTTAGGCAAACGTTTCTTCAATTTAAATGGATTATAGGGTTGTACAATAGATCCGAACGTTTATAAGATAAGAATGTCGAATTTAAGTAAGTATGAGACTTACGAGTATATCTTGTTATTCTGATAATATTGTTGTTATTCTAAGTCGTATATCTTGTTATTCTCTGATATGAGCAAGTCAAAATATTCAGAAAATTGTAATACCTGGAGAAATATTTTTGTAATTGCAATAATTAGCAAAGTCACAAACTCACATTATACAAAGGTTACATTTAATTGAACTTTGAAGTATACATTTATACATTTATCATTTGATTGAGAAATTAAGTAATTTTATTTGAAACCTTGCGAATGCGAAGTAAAAGTTGCATATCCTGCTACTCCGAACAAAGCTGCCACCACAAGGGCGCAGAACACGGAACTGTGGGTCACTTTGTCCCAACGGCTTTGAGTTGCTCCAGCAATACTTCCATAAACCAAGAAAGTGTTATGATGACACATGAATGCTATAGGATTACATTAAATTGTATTAATTAATAGACAAATAACTAATAAGAAAATATTTTATACCTACCAAATGCCATAATTCCAATTGCTGGGACAATGTCGGAGTTGGCAAAACTCCAGGAATCTTTGCCATGTGGCCTGAAGAAAAAATACTTTAGAAGAAAAATATACAACACATATATATGTGTATATATATACAATTATACATATTTATTATATATACCTACATGACAAAATTAATTTTGCAGCAAAATATTTATTTAATTGGTGATGTTGAGACTCAAATTATTATCTTGATTCCATGATGAATAGATATTATAGAATAGCCCAAATGGATTTAATTAGAGGTTAAGTGGTTTATAAATATTCTTATGTATCATAATATTTGAGTGGCGCACAGATGGTGCACGAATTTACTTAATAACACATGTTAGTAACAAATATATTAAACTTTTAATTATTGTGCGCTTTATCTAAATGTTTATATAACGAGCTAATACTATTAGGGAATCATTTTTTATTGATTTGGAAGCGGTTGCGCCCTTGGGAACAAAGAAATTCGAAAATGTCCTTGTTAAGGGCCACCCTAATATATATATATATATATATATATATATATATAAACTATTTCTCGACAA